ATAGTACTTGTCCACTCGCCGACTCAAGGAGTGACTCGTCGAGTTCTATTAGTTTATGATCGAACCCTAAGGGAACTCGTCGACTTTTCCTTCTTGCAACTCGACGGTTACACATGCATACATAATTTTGGGAAACTCATCCAACTCGTCGAGTTGTTTATTCAACTCGTCGAGTCTACAGCAATCTTCATCGGACTCGCCGAGTTGTTCATCCAGCTCATCGGGTCCAGGCTCATCTTCATGAGACTCGCCGAGTCAACCTTCCGACCCGCCGCGTTTCTTCAGTCCTTAAGCCCTACAGACTCTTTTAAGCCATGCAGTGGCTCCAAATTACAGATCCAAGCTGCTAAAGCATGCTTTTCACGTAAAGTTGCAAACTTTATGTGCATGCACAGCTACAAAGGCTCCAAATTTCAAATCCAAGCTCACAATGGGGTTTCATACTTCAAAGAGGCTTCATACTTGACCACATTCGGGGCTTTATGACTCTAGAACCCAAGAAGGGTCCCATATTATCATCTCAACCAAACCATAAAAAATCATAGATCTCAACCAAAAGAGGTCTAGAAGAAGAATTAAGTAAAGGTGACGATTTGATACCTCCAAATGATGCTATCTGAGGTAGATTCCGGATTTCCCACACCTCCTTGCCCTAGCCTTTTGTCCTCTAAGGTCTTCTTCACAAAAGATCTCCTCTCCAAAGCTTTAGACATATAAGGATGAAACACCAATGAGTTAGGGTTTTCTAAGCTCTTAATGGACTGCAAAGAGGCCAAAGGAGGCTTATGCTTCCTTAAATAGGGTGCAAAACCCCGGGATTTAGGGTTTCATCTGCCAGCTCCTACTCGTCGAGTCCCTTTATGGACTCGGCGAGTAGGCCACTAAATACACGATCCCACCTGGCTGCTACTCGACGAGTAAGGAAACAAAATCATCGAGTAAGTCTCAAAACCAAATAACTTTCATTTAAACCTATACCTAAGAATCGGGGCGTTACACCCTAAGCCCAAAAGAAAGCGCAAACTTGAAGCCCAATATGCAAAATCCCACCGAACTGAGTACGCGGGGCGTACTCAGCTATACGCTAAGCGTACACGCTATTGGGCTTGTATGTTGTGCGTATAGAATTGTATGCCCAATGTACTCCTCCATTAAGCCAAACTCTTCATTAAGATCTTAATGCTTAAGTCCATAAGTCCAAACCATAGATCTACTTCTTAATAAACGTATATAACCATAAAGTCACGAACTTGGTGACTTTGCATGCCCCAAAAGGAGCCAACTTCAAGATATAACACTTCAATTTCATTAAATGGTGGGGGATGTTAAACCCTAAAGGACACAACTTTATAAATCTAGAACCCCGGAAACACCAAACCTGGCAACTTGTAGCTCCTGGAGTGGCATAAAACCACTAGATCTCATTCTTGGGGCCAAAAAAGGAACCAAAACTTATATATAATAGAAGTAAGCGATTAATTAACATGTTTATAGCTTTTTACCTCAAACAACCTAGAAATAAAGTAGAGAATCATGATCCACAAGACCTTTCTTGATCCACAACCTTGCACCAAACTCCATCTTCTTGAATATGAACCAAAACACACCAAGATGCACACAATGAGCTCAAAAACACCACCATGGAGGCTAAGGGACGATTTGTAGGGTTTTGGGGACTTGGAGGCTGGTGAAGAGACCAACCCTAAAGACTTAGAGTGCTTATATAGGGTACAATATCATAAATTAGGGTTTTCATATACACCTCGTATGCCCCGCATACTCCTCGTACGCCCAACATATGAGGCCTGACACTCCTGATCCTTCCTTCGCAGTACGCTAAGCATACACCACATTACGCCTTACATACTACTATTCGCACCAGTACGCACTGCATACTCCTTAGGTACGCCCCGGGTATTATGGTTTCTCCTTAAACCATAAAGCACTCTGAAGGCCATAACTTATTCGATATAAATCCGATTCCAACGATCCTTACATTTATGAAAAGGTAACAAGAAGATCTACTCTTTAATCAAATCATACATGACTTACAATTTCCCGAAAAAACATCTAATTTCCATAAAAGCCCAAGCTATCATATTACCAAAATGCCCTTTGGCTCCAAAACACAAACCGAACACCCGAATCATCCAAATTACATCATCCACCTCCAAATGAGTCCAAATCTCAATTCTTCAAGGATCCTAAGTCTACTGATACCCACTTCTTGATGACTAGCCCAAATTGGGAAACGATTCGAAACAGGGCGTTACAAATCTACTCCATTTAAATTAGATTTCATCCTCGAAATCATTCTTTACCATCCACGACACGCCAGAGAACCTAAGCAACATTGCGACAACCCCGAGCATACCACAACCTTCCTAAGGCAACCAAAACCAACCCTAGCATGGCTCTCCAACCCGAAGATGAATGAATCCTTTCTCCACCTAAAAATAATCCCTTGCAAAATAACCACGTCTACTCAACCTAAAATCTGAAGTCTCGAGATGGTCTCACTCCCTGATAGATCGCCCATATTGAACCATTGCTAAATCCATTCTACTTATCTCCCAACTGACTACTCAACTTCTAATAACTTGAGGTTCCCACTAGAAATAGAATCATATACAATTTATTGTTGCGGAACACTTATACTTGACAGAAGACGCAAATAATCCTTCGAGTAGAAGACTTATCCCTGCAACGGTTAGACTCAGATAAGAGATGCACAATATGGTCAAACCATTACTCTGAGATTATCATACCCAAACTATAAGTGACCTAACATATTCTTCGGATGACAAGAGACTCCACACACGAGTTCCAATCAATAATACCGCCTTTACTTATCTTGACGCCCTTTACAGATAGAACCAATTCCAGACACAATCTCAAGGGCTTGATCTAACATCAAAACTGAATCCATTCCTTACCTCTGAAACATTCGACGGATGCCCTCGAAAAGAATACCCCAATTCTTATCACATTTAAAAGAAAATATTGTACATAATCACTCGTGATTCCCAACTCGAGACCTCACCTAAAAACCAACATGATACTTAACTCATAACCCGAGATCCACGGATTTGCACTTGCATTTCACCCAAAACCTCCTGATTCACGATAATCCCTCACTAGACCAGGATATAATGGTTACCAAAACATCGCTGAGACTACCCGTACCACTAGACCGAGATATAAAGTTGAGATAGACTTTGGGGGTAAAATAGATCCAATATCAGTTGAAAGATACCGAAGGAGTTGAAATAGACTTAGGGGGTGAAATAAACCCAGTTTAGTTTACGGCTGTTATGTATGTTTCTAAGGGGTATTTTGGGGAAACTCAATAAACTTTATGCTGTCAGTATTATGTTTATGGTTTGGCTCAAAAGGGAAGGGTCTGACATGATAACACCATATCCACCAATATTTTGCATTTTATCATATGATTTGTACTCTAATTGCTATTTTATATATTATCACATTTTGACGGATTTTGGAATGAATGAATGATAGTTTTGATAGTTTTAAAAATAAATTTTTTACATAGTATTTTTGGGACTTTACATTAAATAAATCCAGGGACTATTAATAGCTTAAACATAGTATAATGATTAAAATTAAACATCTAAAAAAATTTAGCCACTAAAAATGACCTAAACTTTTAGAATAAATACATAATACTTGAGTTTAAAAACTATTATGCATTAAAAAAAAACTACCTATGTTTTGTCTTATTGATAAAAAAAAAATTACTCGTATATCTTGTTTACAGTTTAGCCATCGAAACATTGTATGTCGAAAAATTAAATCCAATTAAAAGTAATAGTCGGTTCCAATATCACAAAAAAATTTTGATTTTTTCTTGTCAATAAAACCAAAATATTTGGATTTTTATTATATTTCCTTAACGTTGTTAATTTTGTGGTTGTTCCATCTTTTAATGTAAACCTTTGAAATAAAGGTGATTCACCATTTCACTATCAATTTATGCATATTTTTCAAGTTATTTGAACGCTTCAAAAGCATTTTATGACAATGCTTTTCACTCCACAAGTTATGGAGAAAGGACTTAGAATTTTAGAACCTACGATATATTGGTGATTGGTCAACACTTCACTGTCAATTTGTGTATATTTTTCAATTCATTTGAATGCTTCAAAAGTCTTTTATGACAATGCTCTTATCACTCCACACGTTATGGGGAAAGTACATAGAATTGTAAAACCTATGAAATATTGGTGATTGATGAATCATATCACTGTTAATTTGTGCGTATTTTTTAAGTCATTTGAAAGCTTTTTTTTTCTTTCACTCCACAACTTGTGGAGAAAGGACATAGAATTGTAAAACCTATGAAATATTGGTGAATGGTGATTATGAACCATTTCACTGTCAATTATATATTTCAAGTCATTTGAAAGCTTCAAAAGTCTTCTATGACAATGCTCCTGTCACCTTACAACTTATAAAGAAGGGAATTTGAATTATAAACCTATGAAATATTGGTGATTGATGAACCATTTCAGTGTCAATTTGTGTATATTTTAAAGTCATTTGAACGTTATAAAAGGCTTTTATGACAATGTCCTTTTCACTTGAGAACTTATGGATGAAGGACTTAGAATTGTAAAACCTATGAAATACGTGTGATTGACGAACAATTTCACTGTCAATTTGTGTATATTTTCAAGTCATTTGAACGCTTCAAAAGGCTTTTATGACAATGTTTTTTTCACTTCAGAACTTATGGAGAAAGGACTTAATTAGAATTGTATAACCTATTAAATATTTGTTATTGATGAACAATTTCACTCACAATTTGTGTATATTTTTTTCAAGTTATTTGAATGCTTCAAAAGTCTTTCATGGCAATGTTATATAATTTCTCTGAGGTGTGAACAATTTCACTCATAATATGTTTCTGTATATAATGTGATATCTGTCATCTCTCTTTCTCTCAATCTATCTATTTGTCTAGATTTTTTGTACAAATCATGTTCTTCACAAAACGTAATAGTTTAGTGAGGTTTTTGCTTCTCCTGTTGTTTTCTCTAACCATACATCTTTCATCTGGAGCAAACATTATATCTGCAAACCAGTCTCTCTCCGGAGACAACACAATCATATCCCAAGGTGGGCAGTTTGAGCTTGGTTTCTTCAAAGCAGGTAACTCTTCCAAGTATTACATAGGCATCTGGTATGAAAAGGTCTCCTCCAATCCTCCTACCATAGTTTGGGTGGCAAACAGAGAAACACCAATCTCTGATAGATTCCGTTCAGAATTAAAAATCATTGATGGTAATTTGGTGCTCTTGAATGAGTCCAAGTCCCAGATTTGGTCCACAAATGTCACCACCACTCTGAATTCTTCAACAGCACTTATTCGTGATGATGGTAACTTAGTTTTGATTGACAGCTCAAATTCAGTTGAACCTTTTTGGGAAAGTTTTGACCACCCAACTCATACTTGGTTGCCTGGTGCTAAACTTGGTTATAATAATAGAAAGAAAACGAGCCAGGTTCTTACATCATGGAGAAGCAAAGAAGATCCTGGTGTAGGACTCTTCTCTTTGGAGCTTTATCCATCAAGTAAAGAGTATGTAAGCAAGTGGAATGGGTCTCAGCAATACTGGAGGAGTGGGGCTTGGAATGGGAATTCGTTTGACTTAGTACCTGAAATGAGGTTGGATAACATATTTAATTACAGCTACAATACAAATGAGAACGAGAGTTACTTCACTTATTCTGTGTATAATCCTTCCATTATTTCTATATTTATAATGGATGTTTCTGGTCAAGTTCAGCAACTGGCATGGTTGGATAATGCCAAAGAGTGGATTTTAGTTTGGTTTGAACCTACAACACAGTGTGATGTTTATGCTTTGTGTGGGTCTTTTGGGACTTGCAGGCAGTCTGGACCATCTTTCTGTAATTGCTTGACTGGCTTCAAGCCTAGATCAGAGAGTGAATGGAATCAGAGTGATTTCTCCAGTGGATGTGTGAGAAAAACCAATTTGCAGTGTGGGAGAAACGTGGAAAAGCCTGATTTTCTCATGATTAGTGTCAAGAGTCTACCACCAAATAACTCTGTGGCATTTGGGAGTGCTGGAGAATGTCGTACCACCTGTTTGAACAGTTGCTCATGTAATGCTTACTCTTTTGTCGATAATCAGTGTTTGGTTTGGGATGGAGATCTCTTGAACCTCTCTGAAGACAATGATAATGATAGTGGGAAAACAATCTTTGTCAAAGTCGCTTCTAAAGATCTTCCACATCATAAAAAGATTAATTGGGTCACCGTGGGTGCTGTTGTTGGGTCTGTGGGAGGTGCACTTCTCGTCTTGGGTCTAAGTTTGATTTTAATCTATAGAAGAAAGAGTATACGTGTTGGAAAGACAAAAATGGAGGGATCATTGGTGGCTTTTGTTTATAAAGATTTACAAATAGCCACCAAAAATTTCTCTAAGAAACTGGGAGGAGGTGGTTTTGGCTCGGTTTTCAAGGGTGTCTTACATGATTCGTCTATTATAGCAGTGAAAAAGCTTGAAAGCATCAGCCAAGGAGAGAAGCAGTTCAGGAGTGAAGTCAGCACCATCGGAACCATCCAACACATTAATCTTGTACGCCTTCGTGGGTTCTGTGCTCAAGGTAACAATAAATTATTGGTATATGATTACATGGCAAACGGTTCTCTGGACACCCATCTTTTCCATGGAAACCAAGTTCTAACCTGGGAAACAAGGTATCAGATTGCACTTGGAATTGCAAGAGGATTGGTTTATCTACATGAGAAGTGTAGGGACTGTATCATTCACTGTGACATAAAGCCAGAAAACATTCTTTTAGATGCCGGATTCTGTCCAAAAATTGCAGATTTTGGTCTGGCAAAGCTTGTTGGTCGAGACTTTAGTAGGGTTTTGACGACTACAAGAGGGACACCTGGGTATCTAGCACCAGAATGGATATCGGGGGTGGCTGTCACAGCCAAAGCAGATGTTTATAGCTATGGAATGATTCTTTTTGAATTAGTCTATGGAAAGCGAAATGTAGTACGTTGTGAAGATTCAAGGAGTACATTCTTCCCAGGTTTGGTTGCAAATGTTCTTAAGGAGGGAGGTGATGTCCTTAGCCTGTTAGATACAAGGTTAAACAAGGAGGCTTGTGTTGAAGAAGTCGCAAAATTTTGCAAAGTTGCATGTTGGTGTATCCAAGATGAGGCAGAGAGTAGGCCTGCCATGAGTCTGGTGGAACGGATTCTTGAAGGGGTTTCGGATGTGAGCATGCCTCCGATCCCCCAAATTGTCACTTTATATGTTGAGAACATGCTGGATCCTGTTTTCTTCACTGATTCATGCTCAATTGAGTGCTCACTAGTACACAGCAATTCCACTGGTGGTGGCTCCCAGTCAAAGGGCTCATCTTCTTGAATTGTAATTATCTTTATCTTCTCTATTATGTTCACGATTAGTGATTAGAAATTATATCATGATAAAAATAAACGAGTCATTGACTTGTTTTGTTGCGAATAAATGGTTCATAGAGCCGATCACTCTAGAATAAAAGTTTCATTTCATTTTACATAATCATTCTAATATAGCTTAGTTGATCATGTTTATAACGTTAACGTTAACGTGTGTATGAGATAAGATGTAGTTTGGAATATCATGGATCATTTTTCAGAGCCAAAACATGGTATTCTATATGCATTGAACCAAGCTTGAAAATGAGTTATTCAAGTTAGCTGTAGGCAAACCTTTGGTTAATTAGAATTTCAACAATTTGGAGATTAGAAAGAGCATATCTTAGCCGAACAATTCCATAGTTAACTTTTTTAGAAATAAGGTGTCAATCAATCTCCATGTGCTTTGTACGGTTTTGGTGAACAATCTTTTTTTTTTCTATGATAATTGCAAGCTATCTACCTATAAAATAGATTCTTCCTTCATTTCGAGTGAACTCTATATCCACATTCCTTCACAAATTCCTAGTGGAAAAGCTCGATACTCGGATTCCACATTGCTGCGACACTGACACATGACCTATCACATGAACGAATGTTTCCTGCTCCTCCATGTGACAAGATTGCCCAAAACATAATAACAAGCCATAATAGTAGTAATATGTGGTTGAGTTCGGTTGTAGTGTTTTAGGTCATCTTGGATCTAATGAATCACGGACCATAACTATTGGATCATAGGAGATTTTGTCCGTTTACACTTGAGTAGGCCCATTTCTTTCAAGAAATCTAGGATGTATTTCATTCGGGGATATACAATGCCTTCCTTGGATCGAGCAACTTCCATTCGACGTAAGTATTTGGGCACAATTCATTTTTAGTAGTCTAATTGATTGTACATCGTCTCCGGATGATGTTATCAACTTACATAATAAGTATAGTTTCTTCCCAATAGTATTAGTTTTGACAACTAGAGCTATAAACGAACCGAACGAACATGAACGAGGCTTGTTCATGTTCGTTCGTTTAAGTTAACCAAACAAATGAACAAACATGAACGGTTAAACGAACGAGTTTTCTTGTTCATGTTCGTTTGTTTAATAAATTACATTATTCATGTTCGTTTGTTTATGTTCGTGAACATGATAAATGAACATAAACGAACCATGATAAAAAAAAAACATATATGAACATAAATTAATATATAATATAGTAATGTAATCAAACACAATTAAACATATAGGAAGATAAAATGAACTTATATGAACGAACATAAACAAACTTATACGAACGTTCACGAACATAATTGAACGAATGAGACCACTGTTCATGTTCGTTCGTTTAACTAAACGAAAGAGAATTTGTTTTCATGTTCGTTCATTTATTAAATAGACGAACATAAACGAACTTTCTGTCAAACGGTTCATGAACAGTTCGTTTAAAACCTTATTGACAATCAATGTATGAGCAACTTGACACTCAACATAACCTTGGGAGGTAATGAGTTAGGATGAGTCAAACTATTTCACAAAGAGTAATAATGAAAGAATATATTAAAAAAAAAAAAAAAAAACAAAGAACACAATAACTAGCGTGGTCCACACGATCAAAGTGATCAATTACATCAACAGGCAAAGTGAGTAAGGTCGTTGGTCACGCATGAGCTAAGAGCTCATCGAGGAAAAGTTAGTTTGCTAGGTAGAGATTGATCGATGAAAAGATGTGAGCTTTTCAATGTTAAATTATAATATTAGTTTAGAAATAGATATGAATTTGTAAAAACATAAAAGTAATATTTAAAATTTGTAAGTATAAAAATGAAAATTTGTTTTTATTATTTTTTATTTTATTTTACCAAGAAGATGTCTGTATGAGTCCAATAAAACCACTCACAAAAAGTAAGTCCATATAGTGTCTTTGACTAAAATGCAACGTGAATGAAGGGTCGCACTAAGAAGTAAGAACCACTCATCTCCAAGATTATGACTTCCATACTTTTTAGCAAGTCGATTCGAACTTCACTGCCAAACCCAACTCATGTTTGAAAGGTCATGATGCACATCCACTTGCAACAAAAAATCATTTTCTCTTTTATTCTATTACGTACAATACAATATATGTCTAATTATTTGAATACAACAGATTAAATAAAGATAATTATCTTCAAGAAGAGGAGCTCTCCGACTGGGGGGAACAACTGTTGTATACCTCTGAACTCCCCTTTGAGGGTGATTCCGTGAAGAAAACAACACGCTGGGTGTTATCAACAAATAACGTGACAGATCGAGGGATCGGAGGCATATTCACATCCATAACCCCTTCAAGGATCTGTTCCACCAAACTCATTGAAGGCCTACTGTCTTCCTCATCTTGGATACACCAACATGCAACTTTGCATATTTTTGAGACTTCTTCAACACTAGCTTCCCTGTTTAACCTGCTATCTACCAAGCTAAGGATATCACCTCCCACCTTCAGAACGTTAGAAACTAAACAAGGGAAGAATGGACTCCTTGAATCTTCAGATTGCTCTGCATTTCGCTTACCATTAACTAGTTCAAAAAGCATCATTCCATAGCTATAAACATCTGCTTTGGCTGTAACAGCCACCCCTGATAACCATTCTGGTGCTAGATATCCTCGTGTCCCTCTTATAGTCGTCAAAACCCTACTAAAGTCTCGACCAACAAGCTTTGCCAGACCAAAATCTGCAATTTTCGGACAGAATTCGGCATCTAGAAGAATGTTTTCTGGTTTTATGTCACAGTGAATGATACAATCTCTGCACTTCTCATGTAGATAAACCAAGCCTCTTGCAATTCCAAGTGCAATCTGATACCTTGTTTCCCAGTTTAAAACTTGTTTTCCATGGAAAAGATGGGTGTCCAGAGAACTGTTTGCCATGTAATCATAGACCAACAGCTTATTGTTACCTTGAGCACAAAACCCACGAAGGCGTACAAGATTAACATGTTGTATAGTACCGATTGTGCTAACTTCGCTTCTGAATTGCTTCTCTCCTTGGCTGATGCTTTCAAGCTTTTTCACTGCTACAATGGACGAATCATGCAATACTCCCTTGAAAACAGAACCAAAGCCACCTCCTCCTAATTTGTCCGAGAAATTTTTTGTAGCTATTTTTAAATCTCTGTATGCAAATGCCACCAATGATCCCTCCATTCTTGTCTTACCCACCGATATTCTCTTTTTTCTATAGACCAAAAGCAAAAATAGACCCAAGACAAAAACTGCAACTCCAATGGACCCAACCACAGCTCCCATGGTGACCCGATTACTCTTGTTATGATGTGGAAGATCTTTATAAGCAACTTTGACATAAACTTGTTTCCCATTATCATTGTCTTCTGAGAGGTTCAAAAGATCTCCATCCCAAACCGAACATTTATTATCGACAAAAGAGTAAGCATTACAGGAGCAATTGTTTAAACAGGTGGTATGACAATCTCGGGCACTTCCAACTGCCATGAATTTATTTTGAGGCAGACTCTTGACACTAATCATGAGAAAATCAGGCTTTTCCATATTTCTCCCACACTGCAACTCAGTTTTTCTCACACACCCACCAGAGAAATCACTCTGATTCCATTCAGTCTCTGATCTAGGCTTGAAGCCAGTCAAACAATTACAAAACGGTAATTCAGTCTGCCTGCAAATCCCAAAAGCCCCACACCAAGCATACACCTCACACTGTGTTCTAGGTTGAGTCCAAAACAGATTCCACTCTTTGGTAGCTTCCAACCATGTTTGTTGTTGTGCATGGCCAGAAATATCCATTATAAATCTGGATATAATGGTAGAATTATACACAGAATAAGTGAAGTAGCTCTCATTCTCATTTGTATGATAGCTGAAATTATAAATGTAATTCAACCTCATTTCAGGTACTTTATCAAATCTGCCCCAATTCTCATTCCAAGGCCCACTCGTCCAATATTGCTGGGAGCCATTCCACTTGCATATGTACTCTGTAGTAGACGGGTCAAGCTCCAAAGAAAAGAGCCCTACAGCAGGATCTTCATTGCTTCTCCATGATGTAAGAAGCTGGCTTTTTTTGGTTCTATTATCATAAGCAAGTTTAGCACCAGGCAACCAAGTATGAGTTGGGTGCTCAAAACTTTGCCAAAAAGGTTCAATTGAATTTGAACTGCCGTCTCTCAACACTAAGTTGCCATCATCAAGAATAACAGCTATTGCAGAATTCAAAGTGGTGGTGGTGATTTTTGTGGACCAAATCTGGAACTTGGACTCATTCAAGAGCACTAAGTTGCCATTTATGATTTTTAATTCTGATTGGAATATATTAGAGATGGGTGTTTCTCGGTTAGCCACCCAAACTATGGTGGGAGGATTGGAATCGACCTTTCTATACCAGATGCCTATGTAATAGTTGGAAGACTTACCTGCTTTGAAGAAACCCAGCTCGAACTCGCCTCTTTCGGATATGATCGTTTGGTTTCCCAACAGAGACTGATTTGCAGATATGGTGTTGGCTCCAGATGAGATAGTTATGGTAAGAGAGAAACACATGAGGACAAGAATCCTCAATAAAGTGTTACTTTCCTTGAAGCACATGACTTGTACAAAATCTGGACAAGGAGATAGATAGAGAAAAAGAGAGATAACAAATATTATATTATAACATGTTCAGTATTGGGTTTTATAGAACTGACATCTGAGAGGCCTTGCATGATTGGTTGATAGTCAGTAAAAATAGTACTCTAACTTGCTAAACCCGCTTGGAATAATGGCCATACAAGTCAGTCTATATAAAATGAAAATCTTCTTTCATTCTAAGTCCTTTATTCTAAGCTGTAAAGTTAAAAAGACTATTACGCAAGACTTTGAAGCTTTTAGATAACTTGAACCAAATACACAACTAGATAGTGGAATGGTGCATCAATCACATACATTTCACATGTTTGACAAGTTGTTGGTGATTTTATATCACTAATATTATTTAAATATAATGGGGTTAATTTGTTGATCATTGTTACTTTAACAATTATCGAACAAATTAGTATGGTGCGGAGTGTACATTTGTTTGATTTTTTCATTGTTGAAAGTATACTGCTATTTAGGGGCGAAGCCCCTACAGGGGTCCGGGGGCAGCGCTCCTGGGAGAGGGATCCAAGGGGCGGCAACCCCTGGCGGGGTCCAAGGTGCAGAGCCTTTCTGTAGACCTGGTTTTGTAAAACACCCGGTTTTGTCTCAGAAATGTCGTATTTTTGTAAAACACCCAGTTTTGTGATCCATTTATAGACCCGGTTTTATGTTAGTTTTGACGGGTAATATGACCGTTTTTTGGATAGGAAGTTGTTTTCCTCTAACTACCATATGGCAGTTTTAGGACAAAAAGTTGGTTTCTGTTATATGATCAATTTCGGGTTTATTTTGGATATAGATTTCATAACATCTTTTTCATTCTCGATTTTAGAAAAACAGTGAGTTTCATCTGATTAGAGATTTTGAGTGTACCCTCGAAATGCTTTAATCTGAAAGTGTTTAACAACTCACTGATTCCCCCCCCCCCCCCCCTTTTTTTTCCATTATAGACATAAATGGTAAGTCCAAATTTCTACATGGTGGGACTTGACATCCTTGCTTTCTCCATCAAGAGAAAGCAAATATATAAACAATTAATGAGTCACTGTTAATTGTCACATGGGTTAGCATGCAACCCTCTACCATTAACTTCCTACCTACCTCTAATTATTTCGTCCCTGATAACATAGAAGAAACAATAAAAAGCATGTTATAATGAAAAATTATTCGCTATATAACTTGTTATGTATTATATATTGTTAGAGGAATGCACAAATTTATGAGCATAGAGCCAAGATTAATTTCAATTCTTTTAATCGATCAGGGAATACGCTTGTTTGTCCTGTTCCCCACGAGATTTGTAAGGGTTATTTGGGCTAAGTGCATCGCACCAACTTCAGGTCCCAAATTTGAATTATTGCCTTATTCACCACATCCATAACATTTAGACTATGTTTACTGGCTAAAAAGCTAGCTACTAACTTATAACCTAGTTGTTAGCTTATATAAGTTAGCCGACAAAAAATGATGTTTGTAAAAATTAGCTAATAAGCTAGCCGTAAAATATAAAAGGACATTTAGAAGAGTATGTTTTATATAGTTAATGAAGTGTATATTTGGAAATTTTTAAAAAGCTCATGAAAAGGTAGTCTAGATAGTTTTTTTCAAAAAGTTAGCTTATCAATTAATTTTTTGTTTGCCAAAATAAAAAAATTTTAAAAAATCAAAAAATAAACTAGCTTATTAGTTAGACGTGACAAACCAAAGACAACATTAATTAAAAGTATAATAAAATACAAACTCTGAAATTTGAATATTAAACCACTTGAATGAAAAATTGAGTTCCTTGATAGAACAATTGTAAACTCGGTTACCATTTACTTAGTGAAATACCCTTACAAATAAGTCACAAGATGTAAACATTACAAGAAATATGACCTTTAGAGACGTCACTTGTCGTGTCTAAAAGTAATTAGGTCTAGTTGCAAGAGACAAACTTGACACTAAAAGCCTCTTCATTGAAGGTTCGCTTTGCGACCACAAGGTTGTTTTTGTTGTAGAAGGTCATCGCAGATGCATATAGAGACAACATTTCGCTATTGAAGATTTATAAAATAAAAAATTCAATAAATGAATTTAGCAACAACATGTGTTAAGATTGAATCAAATGAAGTTTATTAGAACGTAAAGTTAATGAACCGAATGTTGCACTCTGATGTAAAATTTACATGAAGTCGGCTAAATTGAAAATCGATGATTAATGAGATTTGAATTATGTAGTTATTCTAGCATTCAAGGATATAAAGTTTGGCTATTTATGATAATTGTTATTCTTTAGTGTTATATTTATTTTAAAAGGATTAAGATATGTTACTAATTAGTGTACTTCAATGAGTAAAAAAATATTTTTTTCATTAGTTATCTTACGTATTGGACCTATATAGTGTGATGGGTCTATCAAGTATATTGGAACTAATTATTATATTGGATTTGCTCAACAATTTAGGCTTGCATAATAGTATATTGGGTTTATCTAAGTGGAGGCTCATATATAAAAGTAGTTAGCCTATTTAAGTGTAGGACCATAGTGTCATCAAGGCTTTATAATGAGGTTGGAAATGTAACTAATCAACTTTATTAGAGACCTTTAATGATAAGAAATTCTCAATTTGGGTAAGAACTCCATATATATAGTCTAAGATAGGGGACTAATTGAGTACAATGGAGAAAGTGTGAGAGATTTAAGCCTCTAGGTATAGTCTGTCCTTCATTTCGTATGATTTTGGACAAGGTGACAAAATGGAAATCTTCCCATCAATGGGGAAATTTCAATTCTTGATCAATTAGAAGTGGAACTGGTTGGATTCATTATTAATTTCACCAAGAAGACCATCAAAGGTATCCATATATCTATTTTAAAGATTTGGTTTGAAGTTTAGTCTAAGGAAAGCGAAATGTAGTACGTTGTGAAGATTCAAGGAGTACATTCTTCCTAGGTTTGGTTGCAAATGTTCTTATGGAGGGAGGTGATATATATCCTTAGCTTGCTAGATACAAGGTTAAACAAGGAAGCTTGTGTTGAAGAAGTCACAAAAATTTGCAAAGTTGCATTTTGGTGTATCCAAGATGAGGCAGAGAGTTGGAGTTTTTTGTAAAACTAGGATGATATTTAAATCAAATGGTAGAAATAGGTTTGTTTGGAAAACCTTTGTAGAAATAGGTTGTTTTTTAAAATGGCCCCACCAGCTTTAACAATCTAACGGTCCTCACTCTTATTTCTAATGTTTCTAACCAACAAATGATATATATTTATATTTTCTAACCTTCATATGTTATAATTTTTGCCCTTTAAAATTTATCTACTTTTTATTTACCCTTTTTAAAACACCAAGTTTTACCGTTGTTATTAATTACACACAATTAATTTATTTAATGTATATAATTAGAATTTATATACTATTTTTAACAAATAAAATAATAAAATATATCTCATCAATCACTTGAAATACACAACAATATTAATAAAAGATTAATTAAAACATTAGAAACCATGTGAAATGTCTGAAATTAATGTTTGAAATGTGTTTAATTTATAATCTGAAATGTCTTAAATGTATTTTGTGTGTATGTAATTGTATGTTTTCTAATTCTTTGAGGATGTATCTTGTAAATTCCTTATGTATAAATCTATTGTCTCTCCACCTTATTTGGTGTGAGAGTTATATTCTCATGTTACCAGAGCTTAGGTCGGCTCACTTTCTTCCGTAATCAATCCATCCGTATCTCTTCTTCTTCCCTCTGTTACTTCCCGTCTCCTCTTTCTTCTTCATCTATGGCTTCCTCTTTTCGAGATTCTACCCTCCCAATGAACACCATCCTTCATCTTATCACCAATCGATTATCCTCCTCTAATTATCTTCTCTAGAAAAACCAAATGATCCCTCTTCTCACATATCAAAATCTTATGGGACATGTGGATGGAACTCTCTTAAAACCAGCATCTGAAATTCTTGTTGATGGCAAATTTGTACCAAATCCGCTTGTTCTTCTTGGGTATTGGCTGATCAACGAGCAATTATTCTCCTTCAAGCCTCTCTAATAGAGGAAGCATTCTCAGAAATTGTTGGCTTATCTACTGCCTATCAGATTTGGACAACACTTGAACGTGCTTACAATAATTCCTCAATTATGTGTGTTCAAGCCTTGCGCGATCAACTTCGCCAAAACTCCAAAGGTTCGTCTATTGTTGCTGATTTTGGTCTTAAGTTTAAATCCATTTGTGATCAGTTATCTGCTGTTGGTCACCCGGATGATGAATCAGACAAAATTCATTGGTTTTTATGTGGTCTTGGGTCTGTTATTGAGTCTTTTTCTACTGCTGTTTGTGCTTCTCGATCTCCTACTACACTTCAAGATCTTCTTGCCCAAGCAGAAGCACATGAATTATTTTTACAATCCTTGCACAGAACTACCTCTTCTACTATTGCATTCACTGCTGACACCAGACCACCAAATTCCTACTGTGGTCATGGTGGTCGGTTTAATAAGGGTGGTCACGGTCGTGGCTGCCGTCCTCCACATTGCCAGTTGTGTCGTAAGGATGGTCACTATGCTAATACATGTCCACATCTTTCTTCCTATGTCACTCATAAACCCGGTACAGATACGGAATTAGAAAAATCTTTCCATGCTCAGTGTCATGTTACTACTACTACAAATGCTCCAGATTGGTTTGTTGATTCCGGAGCTACAAATCATATAACGGCTTCCACAAATTCTATTACAGAACCTACTCCCTATGATGGTCATGAAAATGTTCTTTTTGGAGATGGTAATACTCTTCCCATCTCCCATGTTGGTCAATCTGTCCTTTATAATAATGTTCGGCTATGAGATGTGTTGGTAGTCCCAAATATTACCAAGAATTTATTGTCCATTAGCAAGTTGACAATTGATAACAATGTGGATGTTTTGTTTTCCCAACCCAATTTTTTTATTCAAGATCGAGCAATGAAGCGGGTTCTAGCAAA